TTCCCCATTTAAACAAACTAAATCAGTCCTTCACATCCTTTCCCTTTATTGTTACAATTTTAGAGATTCATCTCTCCATTGTTGATCATTCACCCTCCTGGCAATGGAACTTTCTTCTGGAGAAGCAGCCACAGAGTGCTTTGCATGCTGAGATCACTTCCTTGGCTCTTTTGATCTATTTTGTTTGCAGAGATGAAATTTCATCAACAGCAATTGGACTTGTACTCCAAATAATTGATGACAACAGCTCTGATTAATTTTTGAGCATTAGATTTAATTTTAGATTGCAGGACCTCTGGGCAGGGGCAGAGTGTGATGATAGATGTTGTACAATTTGAGCACATGGCAGGCACTCCATAATAAGCTAAATCCTCTACAACATAAGAAGGCGTTAGACTATCAATTGTTCAGATTGCGATCCTTAGTCACTTATGTAAAGGCAGGGCAAACATTTCTCATCAAAGACAGGGACGTTGCCATATTGTATGGATTAAATGTAGGTCACATGATCCCCAAAGAATTGAAATTGTATATGGTAGGGCAAAAAATAGATTGTATAATTCTATTGTGATTCTAGAATCATTGATATCAACTATATTATATGTGTCCTCCAAAAGACTTATGCATATAGAAACTTAGTTCTCCTTGATATCTCCAATATAGACAGTAAAATAGGAGACACACACACACACACACACACACACACATATATATACATATATATATATATATACATACACATATATATATTGTATATACATATAGTTGAAATGCTAGAAAGAGATAGAGAAGCTATTTCTTTTATTCTTCCATAATGAGGAAAGCATGCTATTAACTGCTAGAATTTGTGTATGGGATGAGATGGGGGATTCTGGAAAGAGATTGAGAAGCTATTTCTTCCACTCTTCTATAATAAGGAGGGCATATTGGGGATCAAAAGTAGGAAATAAGCCCACTTAGAAAACTTGGATGTGATGCTTAAAGCAAAGGAAGGCACAAAATATTTTCAAAAATAAAAATCTAAGAAAGTAGGAATTTTATTTGTATTATTTATTAAGCAAGTAATACTTTGAATGCTTCAATGATCTCATTGATATGTACATTCCCATAATGGTGTGGATTACAAATTCTATTCACTTAAATTTCAAATATATACACTCACATAAATGTGTGTGTATGTATGTATGTATACATATATATACAACCTTTGAGGAAAGGAGGAAGAGGGCCCTTTCTTCAAATTCAGCAGAGGGAGAGGCAGGCCAAGGTCCAGAACACATGAGGATGGTTGATCATTCTTCTAGTCTGAGGGGGTGGGGTGGAGATATTGGGCTAGAATGTTATCTAGCAAGCCCTAAAATATCTCTATTCTAGAAACACAATTTTAGGATATTCAGAATGAAAACCAACTCCTTGATTTCTCTTAAGGGGGAAGGTTAATCCTTAACACACACTTTCTTGTTTAGCTCCTTCCCACCAATCTCTAGTTCCATAAAAGAGTGTTAAGAAGAATGAATATCAAATAAACTCATTTATCCAAGCAAAACGGCAAACTGAAATTACAGAAGTTCTACATATTAGACTATAACAAATGATGCATAAGAGTAAATGGAGCTCTTCAGCTGAGAGCAAGATAAAAACTCACCTTAGGGTGATAAGCAGGAGAGAGAGAGAAAAGATCTCATCCAGGGGAGATTCACTCACATCAGTCACTAGATTTGCAGGTTAAGGAGACCGATGGGGATAGATTGAAGGTCAGGGAACATGATGGGAATGACTTTCTTTATAAATCTACATTTTTGAGGTTTTCAATTCATTATTTAGAGTATTTCTTTTCATTGCCTCCTTAGACATCTTCTTTCCATATATGTCTCTGGAACCAGCTCCCAGGTAATTTCCCTTACTTCAGGTAGTTGTTGTTGTTTACTTTTCATCCTGACTCTTTATGACCTCATTTTGGGTTTTCTTGGTAAAGATGCTGGAGTGCTTTGCCATTTCTTTCTTCAATTCATTTTACAGATGAAGAAACTGAGGTAAATAGAGTTAAGTGACTTGCCCAGGGTCATCCACCTATTGTGTCTGAGGCCAGATTCAAACTCAGAAAGTTGAGTCTTCTTGACTTCCTGCTAGCTTCCCATTTCCAAAGGTACCCAGTGTCACAAATGTGTCTCAGCAAATTAGGATTGATGTCTACTTTGGTATACACAGCAAACAGCACAGAGTTGTCTTTCAAAATACTAAAGTAGCAATGCATTAAGAATCTTATCCCACCCCCGGGGACCATTTGCCCAACTCACATTACATTGTTAGGTTAAGTTTCTAAAGGACATAATACTACTGCTCCTTTCAACATTTTAAGGGATAAACTTGAGAGATGTGATTTCTAATAACATTGCTTTTGAGACCTGATCTGGTGTGCTCCTGAATATTTGAATATTGATCAACTGGTTGGCATTAATCAGCATTTACGGCGGGATATTAACTGAGTATGTATAACAATGATAAAAGTTTACCAAAAAAAAAGAAAAAGAAAATTCCCCAGGGTCTACAGCATGACCACAGTCTTGTTCACCCTTGGAAGAATAAGCTCAAACTTAACATGCAAATGAAGGCAGAAACACATGGGGCCAAAAGATGCTTCTTGACTCCTCACTCCGGGAGTGCTTTCTCTCTTTGTGGATTCCTTATCCTTTCGCTTTTTGCATGTATCCTCAGCCATGGATGAGCCATTCTCTGGATCAGCTGGGATGGCTCTTTGCAAAGCATTATGTCTCAGCTAATGGGCCGGATGAAGTAGTGACTTGGCTGCTGCGCTCCTTTCTCACTGGACTTGGGTGCTGTGGATGTTGCCTGTGGTTATCGGTCGGGTATTTGATAGTTTTAATGGATTTCCTGGTCTTCCTGGCTGGCTGTGCATTCCTGTCTCAGGATACTCAATCATCCAGATCAGAAAACAAAAAATCCAAAAGAAATAGAGACATGAGGCACTCAGAAATTTATGTCTGCTGGTGGGGGAAAAACACTCAATTTTCCTCCTCCCCCCCATACTCCACAGGTCTCATATCAGTCTTCCTTACTTGAATTCTTCAATGGAAGAGAAGCACCAAAGGGCCTAAGTAGGGGATATTCATCCTTACGTATTTGATCAAACTTCTTATTTAGTAACTCCTTAGCCTCATTCTTTCCAGATCTTTCACTAACCAAAGTACTCTGACAGTACCAGCCCTTCAGTCACTCCTGGTCTGAAGAAGAGTCACTAAGGCTCCAAATGTTGGACTGGAAATAAGAAGGAAATATTTTTCATGCATTGGGAAAACCTGAGAATGTTCTAAGGCCAGTCCTTCCATTACATAGACAGACAGACAGATAAATGGAAAAATATTGAAATAGTTAATATATCTAGATAGATACAGATATAAACATGGGCAGCTAGGTGGTGCAGTAGATAGAGTGCTAAACCTGGAGTCAGGAAGACCTGAATTCCTATCTGTCCTCAGACACTTACCTGTTGTGTGACCTTGGGCAAGTCACTTAACCGTCTTTATCTAAGTTTCCTCATCTGCAAAATAAACTGGAGAAGGAAATGGCAAACCATTCTAGTACTTTTGCTAAAAAATCCCAAATAGAGTCATGAAGAGTCTGACATGACTGAAACAACTGAACAACAAAATAGATAGATATAAACATACTGATACAGATATATAGATTATTATAGATTAGATTTTACCTATAGATATATCTATATATAAATATATAAAAAGCTATCTATCTAGATGTATATATATGTATATATGTAAAAATATATGTCTATCTATATTATCTCTATATCTCTATGTATGAAGTAGACCAACTACAGGTCCTTGGAGTACTCTACTAGAAACTTCCTTTTAAATTGATATCCAGTCATTAATGATTATTTTACTGGCCTTTCAACTACTTTTGAACCCACCTAGCTTTATTATCATCTAGCCTTTGTCTCCCCACGTTTGCCGTGAGTGTATCATGAAAGACTGTCAAATGTTTAATGTCTAGTCAAACCACATCTATAGCATCCCTCTAATATACTCAACACAGTTTAAATGTTTTTTTCCCCCATTTTCCTCTATTTCATTTTTATCCTCTTTCTCTCTTCTATAAAAATGTTGATAGTCTGGTGTAACCTATTATTGATAATAAAATGATGACTCTTTGTAGTCACTGCTTATTTTTTTATATGTATTAACATTCCTTTAATGATATATTCTATAATGCTGTTAGAAATTGATATCATCATCATACCTATGTAAAGAAGGCCTGAGGCTTAAGGATTACTTATCTATATATAATAAAGAGAAATCTTAGACACTAACAGGGAGTTGACACTGAAAAGAAGCCTAGAGAAAGTAAAAAAAAAATCCATTAATCATCAAGCCATATTTTTTTAAGTGCCTATAATGTGCCAGGCCTTATGGATACTGGGGATAAAAATACAAAGGTAAGGAAGTCACTGTCAAACTTTTTAACATTTGACTGAAGAGAATAACAATAAAAAAGATTAAAATCACCAGACACAGATAGTCTACAGCCTTGGGCCTGAGTTCACATACACAATAGATGATGTGACTAGCCACTCTTAATGATCTTTGCAAGATAATGCATAATGGGAGAGGCACAGTAGGATAGGAGAGGTAGAAATGCTGTTCTGATTTTCCAAAAACAAAACTGGGAGAGTGAGGAGGGGGGAAGAGGCTGAAGAGAATGGAATCTGTATTAAATAAGTCATAGAGGTTGACTTCAATTTCTGGCAACATTGTAGAATTACCAGAATTATTGTTATTCTCTTCAGTCAATATTAAAAGTTTAAATACAGGGACTTCCTTACCTTCATATTTTTATCCTGTGTCTATAAAGCCTGGCACATTTTAGGCATTTAAAAAATATAGTTTGATGATTAATGGGTTTTTTTATTTTTTACTGTCTCCAGGCTTCCCTTCAGAGTCAACTCCCTGTTAGCATCTAAGATTTCTCCTTATTATAGATAAGAAATCCCTAAGCCTCAGGATTTCCTTACATAGGTATGGTAATAATATCAATGCTTCTTAATTGGGAACTGAGCACTAAGCTCATGTGTAAAACCAAGCTATGTTTATATGGGAATGGTTCGCATATACTTTTAACCTTAGATGAAATCTCTGGGGTTTTAACTTCTTGGAACCAATTTTACTTCTTAGAATTGTTTATATATGCTTTCATGATTTTAAAAATCTCTTTTTCATGTTACCCTGTAATGAAAGACTGATGGGTGGTATACTAGATAGACTAAAGGAAGTGGGATCAGAAAATCAAAGTGTGAATCCAATCTCAAAACAGATGATCTGTAGGTATGTCCCTGGGCAAATCAGTTAAACTGCATCTACTTCAGTTTTCTATTCTGCAAAGTCAGAATAATAAAGGCACCTACCTGTAGGGTGATTGTGAGCATAAAATGCGATAATATTACTGAAGCACTCTAAAAATCTTAAAGGATTACATAAATGATGGCTATTGCTACTTTTATTAAATGGAAAAGTATGTACACAATGTTTTAAATGAAAGTATATGAATATCCATAAAAGGTATTATTCCTTTCTCCTGAACCACCAATAATTTATCAGTTAAACGACAATGCTGAAACAATTTTCAGCCTATTTCACTTATATCCCCTATATGATATATTAATCAATCTAATGCTATAGAAGAAAGCAAATAAGTATAGCATTATTTGTTGTCACAAATGTCATGTGTTATCTATTTTGAAGTTACACATCTACTTTGCTTTGAGATCTTGTTTTTTTCTAAATTATACTTCGTCTCAATGGCTTTTTATAGTGTCAGTGTAGCATTATTCTATGACAATAACTTAATCCATTAAATTTACTTTCTAACTAAAACAAAGCTATTGAAACCTGTATCTTACAGAAGCTTAAGTGTACCTTGAGATTTATTTAGGCCTAGACCTGTCATTTCAATAATTGTGGAATTCACTTGTGTGAAACCAGTGGACTTCTACCTAATATTTGAGGTAATTTCCTTAATTCACTACAAAGAAATTTCTGAAAATTACCCTCTGTGATAAATGGTTTGTTTTCTCTGAGCAGAAATGTTTGTGAATAAAATCTCAAGTCCAAGGAGAAAATTATTCATGCATGCATCTTTTTAATTAGAAGAGAAAAGATTAGTCAACCTTTTGCAAGAGATAACCATATGAAAAGCAATTTTTAATTACTCTTTTGAAGGTTCTTTCCCTGCTGCAAACAAGACGTTCCAAATAAATGTTTGAAATAAGCTAGCACTTGTAAGAAGAGGTTAATCATAGAGTAGGTCATGTCTGAATGCTTGATAGAGTGGAGAGAGGGGTGGAAATGCACTTTCTTTCTTAATCACCATGAATAAAATCAGGATGTTTATTTTTTATACAAGCCAGGAATTAGGGTCTGTTTTCCCCTTATTCCTCTCACTTCATTATATTTTTGGATTCTTATGCAAAGTCAGAAACACAATTTTCCAGGAAGGCCATGGCATTTGTTTTTATAATTTTATAACCTTATGAGTTTTCTCCCATGTTTCCACCAATGCTGAATTTAATGACATACTATCTCTCTATCTTTTTAGACGATACCCTTTACTGTGCCATAGCACATGGATTTCAGGACTAGCTGTGAAGAGGTAGGTGAAGAGTTTGTGTTCTGTTTTCGTTGTTGTTTTGGTTGTTTTGCTCACTCTATCCCAAAGTTTCCCTCGAGAAAAATACAAGCAAATTTATTTCAACCTAAATTTACATGACTGAATCGACACAGGTTTGAATGTGAACTAAGGGGTTGGCCCACTGAGCCATTGAAGTAATACTACCTTCCTGCCATTGTAGAGAAGGCATGTTTCCCCAGGCAATGATGTGTCTTCAACATGAACTTTATCAATCAGAACATTGATTTGACCAAATTGTTACCCTTACTAGTATATTATGCCCTATAGAATTATTATGAAAAATCATTCTTTTCAAACAAATGATAGTAATATTGATTAAATACTAATACACTGTCAGGAGGAAGGACTTTTAGCCTTTATAGATTCTTTTTGGTGGATTTATGGGAGAACAAAGACAAGAATCATACAGGGTGAAGTATAGAGAAGTTGTATCAATAGAATACCCATATTGATGAAGCCGTAGATACTACAAAACATTAAAGAAGAGGATACTAGTGGAATTTGTTATAGTGATAGCATGGTAAAAGCACTTAACTAGAAATTAAGAATGTTCTGGGTTCAAATCCTTTCTAGTTGTGATGCCTTTAGCGGGTCTCTTAACCTCATTTTCCTCAACTATGTAATAAATATATCATACTTACACTTCATATAATTTCACAGGAATGTCCTTTGTAAACTTGCTATATAATTGTGGATTATTACCATTTATTGCTGAAATTAATTCTTTGTAATACACTTTAGAGAGATGTCATCTTTCATGCTACTAGTAGAAAATTGAGAGTACTTGTTGCACTAATGCTTCTTTCCTTCAATCAATAAACAGTTATTGTGTATCTATGTCTAAGATACTCTGCTAGACCCTGAGGGAAAAACAAAGATGAATAAAACTTAATTCTTGTCCTAAAGTTTACAGTAGTCTATACTAGAGCAAAGTTCAGGGAATTAAGCCTTTCTTTCATAACCATTGTTCTTTTAAAAGAAGAGATTCATTACTAATATTTTATGAAGAATTCAGGAAAATGTCTTCTTATTGTTCACTGGGAAATGAAATCTCTACAAGCAAAGACAAAATACAGTTAGTCTTTGCCCTACATTCTTAAATTTTATACCACAGATATAAGTGACTTAAGTAAAAAGAGATGTCCTGAGTAAGTAGGTGGTAAACTTTATTTTAAATTTATGGAAAATTTATGAAAACTGTAGATTTTCACATAAGTGAATGTGTTCTATCCATCGGAGGTGAAAAGGAAGACATGAAAAAAGAAAGTTCTGTATAACACTGCTTGAAGAAAATGTGAAAATGTTTTAATAATATAAAAGTACAAATGAGTCTGTAATTTTTAATTTAAAGTCCTCTTTTTTATATTTACATGAGCTTAACATTTTAAGATGTTCTTTTTTATTTTCTGAAAAATCAATAATTTATATATTATTGGATATTAATCTCACATGTTAATTTTGCTACAATTTAGAGTTATGATATAACATTTTCCCCTTAAAGTAAAACCTTAACTGCGTATATGAAGAAACCCTTGGAAATTTAATGATTACTAGGTTAAAAGAGAAACTCCATATTTCATATAGGAGAAAAAGGGTGAGATCAAAATATTTCTGACCAAAAATTGTATCTCATACTTTTAAAACTCATATGAAATTGAATCTTTGTAGTTAAAAGAGAGAGAGAGAAACTGCTCTGTTAATAGTTTTCTTTCATATAACTGTATTCAAGAATTAGTTGCTTCCTGTAACAGAGGATTTATTTTAGTGACGTTCTTAGTACTTTACCTCAATTACAGAACATTTTTGTTATACTTTAATTTGAGTGAAATTAATTTAATCATACTTATTTACTGACCCCTATGAGAAAGACAGTGTTAGGGATGCAAAGATTAAAAACAGCATAATATCTTTGCAATCTACCAGAAGCAGGGAAGATTAGCACAACATAAAATATGATGAAAAACAGAATGTGATAGATGATGAACTATCAAGACAAAATGCCTGGGGAAAGTTTGAGGAGGGAAAAATCACTTTCAATTGCTTTGTGTAAGGCTTCATAAAGGAAGAGATGTCACCTGAGCTGATGTTAAGGAAAAGAAAGATTTCAACAGATTCAGTGAAGACATTGTGTCCAGTTATTGAAGATGGCTGCCTCAAATATTTTGAATCAGAAAGATACACAATAAAATTGGGGAATGGTATAACCTCGTTAGTCTAGCACATGGAGTATGTCTAATGTAGCATGGTAAAATAAGGCTGGAAAAATAGGTTAGAGCTACATGATAGCATGCTATAATTGCCCCAAATGCTAGGCTAAGAGGGTATATGTCGTCTTAAAGGCAATAGGAAAACACTGAAGACATTTTAGCAGTGAGTAAGCGTGATCAATTCTATGTCCTAGGAAGATTATTTTGTCAGTTGGATGAAGCATGGATTGTAGAGTCTGGGACACCAGTTGGCAATCATAATATTCTAGCCAAAATAGTAATAAAATCCTGACCTAAGGCAGAAGCATTATAAGGGCTGTCTCACTTTTCTATTTCTATCTCTATCATCCAGTACAGTGCCCATAACACAGTAGATGTTTAATGCTTGCTGAACAATAGGAAAGGATATGTGAGAGAGACGCTTTGGCAGCAGCATCAACAGAGCTTGGCAGTTGCTTAGATGGCTGAAGCAGAGAGGCACTGAGGGACTGGGAAGAATCAAATATGACTATTATTTTGAACCTGGGCAATGGGGAGAATGCTTGTGCCATCAATAGCAATGGGAGAGACAGAAGTAAAGACATGATAATTTCCATAGCTTAGATTTGATCTATACAGCCCAAAGAAGAATTGTTGCAGGGCCATACATGGTCCACTTGTAGTGGACCATACAGCCAATAACTGGCTGAGACCCAGAACAATTGACTAATTATATTGTGCCTCTGTAAAGAGCTACAGCATGTTTGTCTTTAAGATGGAATTAAAGCTGGAAGGGTCTTCAGTACCATCTAGGCCAGCACTTTGTGAAGGGGGATCTAAGGCTCTGAAAAGTTAAGGGACTTGCCCGGGGGGAGGATTAGATGATCTGAAGGTGCTGTGGAGTCCATAAGCAGTTTGTGACAGGACCAGATCTTCAGATGACAAGTCCTCAGTGTTCTTTTTACTATATCAGAGTGCTGAAGATGTTTTTGCTTCTAAACATGTAGTAGACATGAGTTTAATTTCTTTTATCTTTCCATTGATTAGGGTATATTGACTAGGCTATTCCTTTAAATTACTAGCACAAGTCCAGTTGCTTGCTTACTTCCATTTTCCACTGTGAAAATCAAATTTCATTTGGCAAATATTTGTTTAATGCCTTCCATGTGCAAATCACCGGGTTATACATTGTGTGGGATGTAAAAGAGAATTAGACACATTTCTTGGCCGTCAAGAGCCTTGTAATCCAACTATAAATGGAAGAAATGAAGAAAAAAAAAGATTTCAACAGGTTCAGTCAAGTGAACTTGTTAGTTATTTTATTTCAACAAACATTCATTGAGTGCTTACTATATGAAAGTTGTTACCATCAGTGCTTTGGAATTTGATTTAAATAACAATAAAATCAACAATACAGGTACTATCAGGAAGCTATATAAGATGAATTACCTAATAAATATTTTGGGCTATTAGAGCTATCATTTATGAGGAGGGAGAGAGAACACAGTGGACTGACGTGGCTTGTGAAAGATTCAGGGGGAATGTGCACTGAAAAGATGGGCAAATATTTAGCTATGTAGAGAGGAGAAAGAGGGAGTTCTAGGCGAGGGATCAGCAGGCATAAAGGCAAGAAATGAAATATAAAACTGGCTTTATGTGCCTTGCATGAAATTAACTTCAATGTAGTCATGTTGTTTTTAATATTCTACAATGTATGAAATGTCATAGTCATTAATAGTTGTGAAGTTTCATGGTTGAAAAATTCTATGTTCTGAAGTAGAAATAAACATGTTAATTATTATGGCTGAGGCTATAGTGCATGATTACTTACATGTTATGAACCTTGCTTCAGTTATTATTGAGTCTCTATTTTTAGTTTCATTTCTTACAGCTTGCTCAGACATTTGCTTTTCTTGTGATATTTTGGTTCTAGGACTAAATGGGATATGTGGTGGCAACCTAAAAATTTCCCTCTAAAAATGCCTTTCATTTTGCCAACTGACTAGGAATATTGGAAAGAGATTTTTTTGGTGAGGAAAATTTCACTAAGATACAACCATGGCATACAGGGGTGGGGAATCTGTGGCCTCAAGGCCACATGTTGTCCTCTAGGTCCTCAAGGGCGGCCCTTGGACTGAAACCAAACTTCACAAAACAAATCCTTTTATTAAGGGGATTATTTATTTATTCATTGCTTATATTTATATTATAATAAAAATATATTTCTATTATTCATTAAGGGTATTTGTTCTATAAGGTTTGGATTCAGTCAAATGGCCACACTTGAGGACTTAGAGGGCCTCCTGGCCACAGGTTCTCCACCCTAGTAGTAGATAGAGAGCTACCTTCAAAGTCTGGAAGATACATTCAAGTTCTGCTTGACATGCTCTGGCTTTGTGGCCTTGAAAAGTCATGTAAGCTTTCAGTGTCCCAGGCAACTCTTTAAGACCATAAGTGTGGGGCAGCTAGGTGGCACAGTGGATAGAGCACTAGCCCTAGAGTCAGAAGGACCTGAGTACAAATCTGGTCTCAGACCAGACACTTGCCACTTACTAGCTGTGTGACCCTGGGCAAGTCACTTAACCCCAATTGCCTTGCCAAAAAAAAGGAGAAGAAGACTACAGTGGCAGAGCATGTGTTTTTCTGCATTGATAAAGAGAATTTTCTCACTTGGCATTCCCCATACCAATAAAATCACAAGACTTCAAAAAACTCTCTACATAAGCTTTTTTTTTTAATGGAATCTGTATGCGTATAAATAGTATTTAAAAAAAG